TAAACATTTGATTGGTAGTATCAAATACAGTTGCAGGAAAATATTTGTTGTAGTCAAAGTCTAGGGCTGCACAATTAATCGAATTTCTAATCGCTGTTACCAGTGGATCCCACACATCCGTTTAGTCAGTCACTCCACCAGAAGTTGACTCACACAAGTAGAACAGCTTCATTTAGTTCAAAATCACCTGCGTGTGACCTTGTTAATAGTGATAAACTGATATATATTGGTCAGGCTGATAAAGCCAGTATTCGAACACTTTCACATTATCAGCCAGTAAGTGCGCGCCTGCAGAAATGTTTGTTCTTCCTTGTGCTATTTCCAAAATATACCAACAGGGAGGTCATCCAGTGGTTAATGCACAGTTTTGGTTAAAAGTTCATATTTATTTTCACCATATACAGTATGTGTATAACTCAACTGCTATAATTAAACTGTATTAGAACACTACTGTGCAAAAGTTTGGGGTCTTTAATGTCTTGAAATACATTTCTTCCGCTCAAAAAGGCTGATTTAAAAAAAAAAATAAAAAAAACCCCCAGTAAAAACAGTTATATTGTGAAATATTAGTACAATTTAAAATACGTTTTTTAAAAATATATTTTGAAATGTAATTTATTCCTGTGATGTCAAAGCTGAATTTTCAGCATCATTACGCCAGTCTTCAGTGTCACATGATCCTTCAGAAATCAGCATATAAATATGCTGATTTACTGCTCAATAAACATTTATTATTAGTATCAATGTTGAAAACAGTTGTGCTGCTTAATATGTTTGGAAAATGTTTCAGGACTCTTTGATGAATAGAAAGTTCAAAAGAACAGCTTTTATTTGAAATAGAAATATTTTGTTACATAAAGATATTTATAAATATAGTCACTTTTGAGTATTAAAAAAATATTACTGCCCCTAAACATTTGATTGGTAGTATCAAATACAGTTGCAGGAAAATATTTGTTGTAGTCAAAGTCTAGGGCTGCACAATTAATCGAATTTCTAATCGCAATTACAATTATGGATGCCACAATTATGTAATCGTTCAAAGCGACAATTAATCGTTTAAAGTCCCCTTATGTTATTCTGCACACTTAAGATATGGTTTTTTCTTTCTACATGTTATCTTAAGGGGTTTTCCATAGTTTTAATTTTAGTTTTAGTATAACACTATAATACCATTTATATTTTAACTTTTTTTATAATTTAAAGAAGAAACCAATCCGATGTATATTTGACATTTGAGGCTTAATACTATAGAAAGTTTTTCAGTTAGTGTTTTCAGCTTGTTTATTTTCATATAAAAATACGGCATGCAGTTGCATCGAACAATGGTATAAACATAATTCAATGTAAATTGTGATAATCATAATTAATAATTGCAATTACAATTTCAAGGCAATAATCGACAATTATGATTTTTGTCATAATCGTGCAGCCCTAAGTCAAACAATGACCAATTCTTAGTCTTCCATATTTTCTTACATGCATGTTTGAGGTGTGGTTAAAATCAGGCATTTCTAATGAACAGCATAGTAAAAATTTGTTGAACCGAGAACAGAGTGAATCTGACCAATACCTGCAATCGTGTTGTTTGGACTCCTGACTCCTAAAATGTTCAGTGAAGACATGATAATGCAACATTGCTTTCTACTATTTGCTTAAGCTGATTGTGTTTGTCTATTGTTGTGAAGTAATTGAAAATCATATAAAATTTTATATCCAATTTATGCAGAAATTTATGGTAAAGCCACATCACATACCCACATTTTCTGCAAACCTCAAATGTTCACATAATTTTTCCTGCAACTGTGTATAATATATCGCAATCTAGTTATTGGCCTCAGTCACTGAAAAATCTATATTAGTCGACCACTGTCTTGTAATAGATTTAGTGCTTGTCAGCTGAACAAACACTTGAACAAACAATGTCACTTAAAGTATCTGCTCAATGAATCAATGCAAATGTCAGCACCAATAAATAAAGTACAAAGTAAACTAATAAATAAATAAATAAGATACAACATACATTTTGACTTTAAGAGTCCCAGCCACTGGTGTATACTGACATCCTCAAGTGGTAGGTGTTTGTCAGAACCACTAGAGGGTGACCTTTGACCCGCAGGAACAGCCTGTCCTTCTCTTCAAGAATCGGCTAAAAACACATCTCTTCCATCTTTTTTTGACCCTCTAACACTAGCTTGCTCTATTCTTTTTCTATTCTATCTGTTTTTCTTTTTATTTATTATATATAAAAAAAAACAAAAAAAAACCTTGCTACGGGTACTGCGTTAAGCTAACTTAGACTTGTTATAGCACTTGCATATTATTGCTCTTTTGTTGATTTTGATTGCTTCCATTGTCCTCATTTGTAAGTCGCTTTGGATAAAAGCATCTGCTAAATGACTAAATGTAAATGTAAATGTAAATGTCCAACACCACTCGCCCATCACCTCACCATAACACTCTGACTGTCCCCACTCACCATCTTTGTTATGTTCTCTCACCTTTATGGCTCAATGAGAACACAGAAAAAATGTTGGTGGATAATATGCATGTTTGTGCATCCGTTATTAAAAACATATAATGAAGAATAAAGTTTGTTTTGAAACAAAAGGGCTTGATATAATATGAAAACATACAGTAAATATTGGAACTTAAAACAAAAATTATATTTAACATTTAAACGGGCATATTTCTTAAAGGGGTCATGAACTGAGAAATCAAAATATATAAGAGGTCATTGTGTTATAAAACATCCTGTAAGTTTCAGAACTCAAGACTTTGTCGTTAGTCTAAAAACAGCTTATATTGAAGCCAATCTGCCAAAATGACAGGTTGTGGAATGTTCTACTCTACTGTATGTTCTACTCTATGATGTAATAGTGTGGCTAAACACCGCCTCCGCAGAAGAAGATCAACGCCTACTTCTACATCGTTGCATATTCAGCCCCGCCCACTTATTCGAGCATATCGTGTAAATGACAAGAGCGGCAAAAGCAGGTCTGTGCAGAAACTAAACTATGAACTTCATTTGATGAACTGATGAAGTGCCAGACCGCGTCAGTAAGAACTTGGTCCTTTGTCCACTTCATTTTACCGCGGATTTCATTTACAAACAAGGCACAATTCGACAGGATTTTCAAAAAGATTGAAATTGAAAGATGATGCTGTGCCGACTATATTGGATCCGACAGTAATGTCACAACACACAAGTTTGAGTAACTGTTTTCATTACGTGATCACTATTGCTTTGTCTCTTCTTACAGATCGCTTGATATGTACTGAGTATACAATCCGCCACGTCTATTCAAATGGAGCGTTCAGATGAGGGGGTTAAAAACTCGACAGAAAATACCCTATAATCTCTAAATCATGATGTTTTTAATGTAAATATCTTGATAATATAATTGGGCCTCACAGAACAATACAAAATAAAAAACAAAGGCAGTTCATGACCCCTTTAAAGGAATAGTCCACATAAAACTTTCACTTCAACACGTTAATTGATGCACAGGAGTGTTGTGGATTATTGTGATGTTTTTATCAGCTATTTGGACTATCATTCTGACGGCACCCATTCACTGTAGAGGATCCATTGGTGAACAAGTGATGTAATGCTAGATTTCTCCAAATCTGTTCTGAGAAAGAAACAAACTCATCTACATCTTGGATGGCCTGCGGGTAAAACATTTCTGCAAATGTTAAATTTTGGGTGAACTATACCTTTAAGAGTGCAGTTGCAAAAACAGACCGTTTAATGATCAGATACAGGTACAGAGAGAAGGTGGAAAGAAGTAATGTAAAACTAAAATATGCTACAAAAAAACAACTAAATTAATGGACCTCAGGAAAATTCATAATACATCCTCTTTAAACCTGACTGAAGACATAAAAACATGTTATAAATCTTCCTTATCCTCTTTCAAATACTTCCTGCATGCTACGCTTTTATATTTGTCCACGCTTGTATTTATCCAGCAATAAAACCATAGAGATAAATATAAAAGTGCTACTCCAGACAAAACAGATATAACCCAGACAAACAAACACAGTAAACAACTCGCGCAAACACGTGCAAACACACACACACACACACACACACACAGAAGCAGATAGCACGCAGCAGCTTTTGTGTGGCATCAGGTGTGACCGTGGCATAAAGGGAAATGTGAGGGGATGTTCTGTTGTGCAGCTGCCATTTGAAGCCATGATCAAACACACCAGCCGGCCCTCAGAGAGCCAAGAAGCACTCAACCTCAGCGCCAAAACCATGGAGGTCTGATCTAATGGCACCCAAACTAATGGGAAAATTAGAAAGTGATCCATCAGGAGAGCCCGTGGGGATAAGGGGGTCAATTATTCAGGGGCCTCATCCTAATACACACTGGCTTGAGAGCCCCAACGTTGGGTTGAAACAACCCAGCATTTTTTAGAGTGTACAATACCAAGCAATACAGATAAATTAATATGACATGCACTTTTGAAAATGTAGTAAGTATACCATGCATGCAGAAAACTTGCATAACAGGCAATAAACATAATGCATACTGCAAAATTAGAAGCGTATTTATGTTAGTATACTATTTCAAACATACCCACTGTGCGCTTATGTATCTCTGAACAACATATTTGTTTGTTCCCATTTTAAAATAAATCTTGAAATAACAAAGATTGGCTAAACTGCATCCTGCAGACACAAAGAATAGAGATGTTCCAATGAAAAGGAGAAGAAGTGCACAAACACCCACAGACCAACAGCAGAAACTACAGGCCAGTGCCTTTGACCTCACACTGTTAGCACAAGAAAGGTCGGTATGGAAATGACTGGAGCTACTGTCCATGCATGCAGCTATAAGTTGGCATGTAACTGTTTTAAAATGGATGCTGAGAACCTGAAAACTAAATTTCATGGTGCATGATGGTTCAAAAAGGAGAACTATACCTTACAATGACTTCTGCGACTGAGGCAAGAGTGACAGACACAAGACATTTGGGCGTCTTACCTGTCGGACGAAGCTGTTAGAGGTTGTGTCTGAGGAGGTGCTGCCATCTGAACGTTTGAAACGGCTCTTCCTCTTTGCATACTTGCCCTGAAACATGAGAGAGAAAGAAATTAGAAAAGAATGGACACTTTTCTGTATGCATTGTTTACCCCCCCACACACCCCACACACACACACAAAATATGGATTCTTGGCCTGGTCTCTGTGTCCAGATATGATTACCCATAATTACTCATGTCCGCCAGTGTTCTCTGGGAATCAGTAATCTGATTGGCCTTAACATTGGCCAATGGCCTGGCTGCCTCCGTTGCCATGGAGATCAGAAGAAGGCTAATTGGGTTTTGTGGCACTAAAAGACCCTGATGGATAAGGCACAAGACTGTAATATGTTCAAAACCAGCATTCACAGTGATGCACACAAGCTTTCTGATATAAATTCTTGCAAAACCATTGTTTTTCTTCACCTGAATCCCACAACTCCTTCCTCTTTCCATCAGGCAATCAACTACAACAACCTGCAGACAGTTTTAGTTTAAAAAGAAATGTGCAAAAGTGTGTTAAATAATGATTGTTGTCAAATTGTATGACCTTGTATGACACTCATTTGACAAACAGACAGTCCTGCCCCAAACTCACACTATTGGTTCATCCAGTGTTGCTAAATGTTGGGCTGGTTGAGATGCGCAAACAGACAGAACAATGTTTTGAAAGGGTTTTAGACCTTTCAGGGAATCAACTATGAATTACTTGCTTAAAGTTTGGATGTGATAAAGCACTTTAACAGAAAAAAAATAAACGCATCTAAATGAGATTGGAAAGTTATTATCTAGGGGTCATACAGGGTCCAGACAGTTAACACTGACATAATTGCTTCATGGGGAAGAACATCTGAAAGGTGCCGTGTAATAATTTTGTGCTTGAATGTCTCAAATATAATATGAAATGCTATTTACTGTTAAGGAAATAAAATATATAAAATCAAACTAATGCAAAGTCTGACAAATTCTTTTGCTGTGAATTTGAACTGCACAATGTTATGATTACAGACACAAACCAGTTGCAAGCTTACTGGAAACTATTGCATAAATCAAACCACAATGCCATAGCTTTCCCAATATTGGTAATTTCCCAAGGTCTTGCCTCTATGAGTGCCAGTGAAATCATAAAACATTAATTTAAAACCGAACAGAAGGACATAACCGCACTGTCTGCATTGCTATTGCGTCATCATAAAGGGTTTATAATAGACATTATGGTCACAAAAAAGGCATAATTGAGCACTGCCATTGCAAGAGCACTGGAAAGCTGATCCAATATTTTACACGGGTCCTACTTCTTGCCTTGTCGTTCCGCAGACGTTTTCCTCTTTTGTTTTTTTATCCGCCATCTCTATCTTTCTGTCGCTCGGCTCGGCTAATGTCCGTCCCATGCACTGAAAGCTCTCTCCTCCACATCACGAGTAGACACGCCCCTTATTGCTGATTGGCTACCAGTTTGTTTTGCTATTCGGCCCGAATCAGTTTTCTAAAGTGTTTTTGAAAAATCACATACCCTGCCTTTAATGTGAAAGGTTTGTGAGAGGCTGGAGATGCTTATATACTGCAAAACCAGATCTGAGAAAGGCCAGCAAAATGTCAAGGGAGGGAGGAGGGATGTATTGCTATGGTGATGAGAGATTTCCTGTTGACAAACAGCCTCTGAGGCTAATTAGGTAATTAAGGAGGAAAAGCTGTGCCACGGGGCAGGGGGAAGGATTTTAGAGTTACACAGTGTCACCACTAGTTCATCACAGAAAGAGAAGAGAAGAGAAGAGAAGAGAAGAGAAGACTTAATGAAGTTTAATTATGTGTCATGTCCTTAATTGACCATGTCTGGCTAATGATATCAATCCAATTAAAAACTACATTAAATACCCACTTATGGTCTTATTCTTATTCAACAAAACTAGGAAATGCACTTTTTTCTGTACTCAACCGGTTTGCTCTCACACACATACACACTCGTTTCTCAACACTCCGCCTCCTCACAGTTATGTATAGACATGATTCAGATAGAGCACCTCTCCACAGCACAGGTCACACACATTCACACTACCGCATTATATAAAGTCCATTATATAAATACAGCCTAGCCATCAGAAACACTACTGAAACAATCATCCACACACCACACGCAGAAAGTGGCCTGTATGGAACAGGTGTACATTCATACATCAACCGTCCTCCGAAACAATTCACAAACAGAGAACAGGGCAGAGCCAGAGTGAGGCATCAGAAAATGTTTTTACATTTTGTAATAGTTGAGTTCCTCAGTTGCCCTTAGTGTAAAAATATGGATCTCAAAATCATACAGTCACTGATAAAGGGGTCAAATATGCAACATTATGGTCACAAAAAAGGCATAATTGAGCACTGCCATTGCAAGTTACTGTGGTATATGCCAGACACAAGAAATACTTCTTTACCTTAGATAAAGCATTTCAATATTATTAAAGTCAATATAAAATCAGTTAACCCAATTTATAGTTCCTTAAGGCACAATCCTGGTCTTGCTGTGCATAATTCGCTTGTTTGCATCATTCCCAGTAAAGAAATGCTTAAAATAATGCAGAAATTAAATGTAAACATTAACAATATACTAAAAGCTTAAAGGGGGGGGAAATGCTATTTCATGCATTCTTAATTTACACTGCAAAAGAGTTGGATTCTCATGCAAAACATGACCAAAGTCTCAAGTTGGACGTATGACGGAGTATTTCTGTGCCAAATACACTCATTCAGGGTTCGTATAAATTTCTAAAAGGTTTTTTTTTTTTTTGGCCTGTATGGAACAGGTGTACATTCATACATCAACCGTCCTCCGAAACAATTCACAAACAGAGAACAGGGCAGAGCCAGAGTGAGGCATCAGAAAATGTTTTTACATTTTGTAATAGTTGAGTTCCTCAGTTGCCCTTAGTGTAAAAATATGGATCTCAAAATCATACAGTCACTGATAAAGGGGTCAAATATGCACAAGATGCTGGAAAACCAAAGAATGTGCAGGAGCTGGAGGATTTTTCTGAAGAACAGCAGGCAGTTGAACTGCTCAGGGCAAACAAGGGACTCTTAAACAATTATCACAAAATATAAACACTTGTGGATCATCCAGGTAATGACACAGTATTACAATTCACAAAATATGCACAAGATGCTGGAAAACCAAAGAATGTGCAGGAGCTGGAGGATTTTTCTGAAGAACAGCAGGCAGTTGAACTGCTCAGGGCAAGCAAGGGACTCTTAAACAATTATCACAAAATATAAACACTTGTGGATCATCCAGGTAATGACACAGTATTACAATTCAAGGGTGTGTAAACTTTTGATCAGGGTCATTTTTATAAATTCGGTTATTATTTTGTCTTGTGAGGCATATGTAAACATCTGAAATAGCTTATTCAGGACAGAGCCAAATAAAGAATAACATGCAATTTTCACATTTTGCATATTCTGCAATGGATATGTAAACTTGTGAGCAGAACTGAATCCAACTAAATGGTGATCGGGAAGCTGTTTGGGGCATTTTTGTTACTTTTTTTGGCAGCAAATGGTAATTTTGCACACTTGCTGCAGTAAGAGATTAGATAGATAGATAGATAGATAGATAGATCTTTACCAATTACCCCTTTTTAGCAAGAAGTTTTTAATCATTTGAAAGTACAGGTCAGAATAAGTATGTTGATTAATTTTTACATAAATATATCGGCTACACTGAATGGCGATGGAACATTATTTCACCCATATTTTGACATTTTATTTTCACAAAAGTTATTTGAAACAGACACTTTACTTGCATTTAATATGCTGTATATAAAATCACTTTGGTAAATTTTATTTGATGCCATTACCATTATGGGACATCTGGTCTTTAACCGATAGATAGATA